CCTTGTAAACGATTTTCCACATTCACTGCATTTATAAGGCTTTTCTCCTGTATGAACTCTCTGATGACAATGAAGGGCGGTCTTATAGGTAAAAGATTTCCCACATTCATTACATTGATAAGGCTTTTCACCAGTGTGAACACTCCGATGATATTGGAGACCATTGCCACTTCTAAAAGATTTTCCACATTCACTGCATTTATAAGGTTTTTCTCCTGTATGAACTCTCTGATGACGACGAAGGACGGTCTTAGTGGTAAAAGATTTTTGACATTCACTGCACTGATGAGGCTTTTCTCCAGTGTGAACTCTCTGATGATGTTGGAGACCTTTTCGACCTTTAAAAGATTTTCCACAATCACTGATTTTATAAGGCTTTTCTCCTGTATGAACTCTCTGATGATAACGAAGGGTAGTGCTACTGGTAAAAGATTTTCCACATTCACTGCATTTATAAGGCTTTTCTCCAGTGTGAACTCTCTGTTGAAAATGAAAACCAGAAAATTTGGTAAAATATTTACCACATTAACAGCACACACAACAACCACTTCCAAGAGGGACACCTTTTTGCTGAATAAATGTGTGGGAGCAACTAATGTCTTTCTTACTTTCTTTTCTGCAGAAACAATTTTTTCTCCTTTCAATCGCCAGCCCATGCATAAAAATAGCATTTGGGCTGTCCCTGGTCTGAGTAGCCTTTAGGTGGAGATGTCCTGACCCATTAAGGACAACCTGCCCAACATCCCTGCATGTGAAATGTACTGGGACACATTGAACTTCCAGCTGTTTGCAAGTAACAGCACTTCCACACCTCTAATGAAAGTCTTCGCTCTCACATGCTGCTGGTGAAATTTTGCACACAAAGAAAAACTTTTTGCACATGCCCCACAGCTCAACAGTATCTTCTGTATTGTGTTCCCTGCAGCTTCATCACGTGGAAAATGTTTCCCGAGATTAGCCCACAACTCTCACAGGGTGACTCTTCTGGGAAGACAAAGGTAAATTTGGATTCCTTGCCTGTGACAATCTTCCAGAAACTTTTTGTTCAGTCACAATCTCCACACTGTCTTCTCCACAGCAGCAACCTGAACAAAAGGAAATGTAGGTGAAGTGCATGTTGACCTGACAAAAACAGAATATCTTCAACACAGATGTTTCTCTGTCATGACTAGACATGATTCCCTACAATGATTTTCAAGACGAGTGAGTCAGACTCTCAGGAAATGGCTGTTATATATAACATGGCCCAAAAGGTCACTGGATGAGGAAAATATCACCAAGGGAGGACAGAAGCATAGGCTGGCACAAAAAGAAGAGAGGCAGGGTCTGCTCGTTATTACTCCACAAATGGCTTCCTTTAAGACCTTTCATGTGGTGATATGAGTCTGTGTAGAATAATTCCAATGTGTTCAAAACCATAAATGATCAATCAAATTAGAGCATGTGATGTTCAACGCCAATATAATAATACATGTGCACTCTAAGGCCTAAAGGCATGGAACAGTATTGGAGTGCAGTTAAGCGAGATGTGTGAAAGAGGTAGAGGTGCAAAGTTTAGAGAGGTTAAGGTTATCCATGAGCTGGGAATCCGAGTAGAATTATCAGTATTAAAACTTAAAAGTGTCAACATTAAGCGAGAAGAAGTAGAATTGGTTGAGGAGTGGGCAATGGTAAGACAACATTGTTGAACAAAATGGGTACCTAGTTATAAATGTAACAAAGCCCAGGCGTGAAAACTGCCCCCACAGCCCTTCACCAAGGGAAGACTGCCTCAGGGTCTAGCAGCGCCTGTCATTGATAAAGTCATGTTTCTCCTGTGATGCACAAAGGATTCTGCCTCTCAAATCCCAGCTGAGCCACTGCATGGGATAAATGATGCAAATCTTAAAAGAAAAACTAAAAAGATGGATGGTCAGCACTGTGGTAGAACAACAAAGCACAAAAGAGATCACATACAAAAGAGAGTGACATCAGCAAGATGGTAGAATGAGAGATAGAGAAACGTTCCCCATCCCAGAGTAAGTAGACAGCTATCCATGAGAAAAAAATCCCACAGGAAATGGGAATAAGAGTACCATGAAGACAAATAGTAATACAGAATACCAAATAAGGACAACTGCATAGATAGGATGACAGGAAACTGGGTGAGGAAGCACATTTGAGAATACTTAAGGTCAAAAACAAGGGTTAATAATAACTAACGAACTGACTAAGTAAATAAATAAATACAGTAACGGTCAGCTCTAGCTGGTTTACTCAGTGGATAGAGTGTCAGGGACCGAAAGGTCCTAGGATCCATTCCAGTCAAAGTCACAGGCTGAAGTTTGTTGTGGGTTCAGTTCCAGTAAGGGGGCATGCAGGAGGCAGCTGACCAGTGATACTCTCTCATCATTAATGTTTCTCTCTCTCTTTGTCTCTCTTTCTCTGTCTCCCTCCCTCTGAGAAATCAATAAAAATGTACTAAACAAAAGGGTTAGCTCTAGCTGGTTTAGCTCAGTGGATACAGCATCAGCTATTAGACTGAAGGGTCCCAGGTTCCATTCCGGGCAAAGGCACATGACCGGGTCGTAGGCTCCGTCCCCGTTGGGGGGCGTTCAGGAGGCAGCCAAACAATGATTCTCTCTCATCATTGATGTTTCTATCTCTCACTCTCTCTCCCTTCTGAAATCAATAAAAATATATTTTAATAAATAAATAAAAATAAAGGGTTAGCATTACCACTATCAGCCACGGTGCTTCTATTCTCATTGATCCTAGTGGCCTGTTCTCTAAAAAATTGGAAATTTTTTTATTTTAAACACCACAGAATGCCCTGGTCAGTGTGGCTCAGTTGGATGGAGCATCCTCCAGTGTATCAAAGGGTGGACGGTTCCAATCTCGGTGAGAGCACATATCAGAATGAGGTTTTCATATCCGGTTTGCATCTGTGCAGAAGGCAGCCAGCCGATTAATTTTTCTCCCCCACCTCTATCTCTCTCTCTCTTTCTCCATTTCTCTTCCGCTCTATGTAAAAGGAATCTAATTATATAAACAGCTAGGGGCCCTGGCAGCCTAAATGACCGAACTGACAACCGAACACTGGAAGTCAATCCTGACCCAGCACTGACTGCCAAATCTGGAGGTCCGGCAGCGCCAGGCGGGGGTCAGATGTGGGAGTCAGTCCCGTGAAGGAGTCATTTCCGGGTCATGTAAGTGGAAACTGTAAGATATAGAAACAAGGAAGACCTATCCCTCCACCTGGGGAGATATTGGCAGAAGATTAGTAGGGAGCCAGAACTCCCACCAACTCAGAACAATAATGAATACCCATTTCCTCACTGACCCCCCCACCCCTCCCCAACATACACACACACACACCTACAAACCTTGGGCCAAGTGGGGAACCTGGACTTGTACTCTCTTCTTGAAATAATGAGATGGCATCTCACCCTTCCCTTTACCAGAGCAGTAACAGAGCAACCCAGATAAAACGGCTTGAAAAGATTCAGAGTTTCATAATGCTCAAAATTTCTAGGTTTCAATGATCAAATTAGTCATACAAAGAAGCAGAAAGATCTAAAACTGAATAAAAAAGATAATAGAGACTAACACTATTAGTGATGACAGAGTTATTTGATAATAAGTTTAACGCAGCCATCAAAACAATCTTTACATGAGTGATTTTGAACATCCTTAAAGGAGGAAAAAAGAAAGTTATGGCAAGTAAATAGAAAGTCTCAAGAAAGAAAATGAAGCTATAAAGAAAAACCAGATGAAAATTATAGTACAGAAGACTATAATAACTGAAATAAATAACTCAGTAAATAGGCTCAAAGCAGAAAGGATAAAACAGAGGAAACACTCAGGGAACTAGAAAATATAACCATAAAAATATCCAATGAGAATAGAGAGAAAACGGGCTGGAAAACAGCAACAGAAAAAGATCGGAACCAAGGAACCAGTGGAATTATAACAACAACAACAAAAACAACAACAAAAACAGACCACAAAATAAAACTGTAACATTTGGAGTCCGGGAAGAAATGAACAAAGATGGAATAGCCAGTTAGCCTGGAGGTCAAATCACCCCCAGTATTGCTGACAACAATCAAGGCTTAACTACAACAAGACTGCGCACAAGGACCACTAGGGGGTGCACCAAGAAAGCATAAAAAATGCGGAGACAAAGAAACAGGACAAAACTGTCAATGGAGGATACTGAGTTCAGAACCACACTTTTAAGGTCTCTTAAGAACTGTCTAGAAGCCGCCGATAAATGTAGTGAGATCCTCAAGAAATCTAATGAGACCCTCGATGTTATGATAAAGAACCAACTAGAAATTAAGCATACACGGACTGAAATAACGAATACTATACAGACTACCAACAGCAGACCAGAGGAGCGCAAGGATCAAGGCAAAGATTTGAAATGCGAAGAAGCAAAAAACACCCAACCAGAAAAGCAAAATGAAAAAAGAATCCGAAAATACGAAGATAGTGTAAGGAGCCTCTGGGACAGCTTCAAGCGTACCAACATCAGAATTATAGGGGTGCCAGAAGATGAGAGAGAGCAAGATATTGAAAACCTATTTGAAGAAATAATGACAGAAAACTTCCCCCACCTGGTGAAAGAAATAGACTTACAAGTCCAGGAAGCACGGAGAACCCCAAACAAAAGCAATCCAAAGAGGACCACACCAAGACACATCATCATTAAAATGCCAAGAGCAAAAGACAAAGAGAGAATCTTAAAAGCAGCAAGAGAAAGAAACTCAGTGACCTACAAGGGAGTACCCATACAACTGTCAGCTGATTTGTCAACAGAAACTTTGCAGGCCAGAAGGTAATGGCACAAATATTCAAAGTGATGAATACCAAGAACCTACAACCAAGATTACTTTATCCAGCAAAGCTATTATTCAGAACTGAAGGTCAGATAAAGAGCTTCACAGATAAGGAAAAGCTAAAGGAGTTCATCACCACTAAACCAGTATTATATGAAATGCTGAAAGGTATCCTTTAAGAAGAGGAAGAAGAAGAAAAAGGTAAAGATACAAATTATGAACAACAAACATGCATCTATCAACAAGTGAATCTAAGAATCAAGTGAATAAATAATCTCGTGATCATAATAGAATCAGGGACATAGAAAGGGAATGGACTGACTATTCTTGGGGGGGGAAAGGGGTGAGGGAGATGCGGGAAGAGACTGGACAAAAATCGTGCACCTATGGATGAGGACAGTGGGTGGGGAGTGAGGGTGGAGGGTGGGGCGGGAACTGGGAGGAGGGGAGTTATGGGGGGAAAAAAGAGGAACAAATGTAATAATCTGAACAATAAAGAGTTAATTAAAAATAAATAAATTTAAAAAAAGAAAGAAAGAAGATGGAGCTGAAAGAATACTTTAAGAAATAATGGCTGAAAACTCTTCCAATTGGTCAAAAGACAGAAATCCCCAATTTTAGAAGTTGAGCAAATACAAAATGAGATAAACGCAAAGATATCAACACCCACATCATTGTCAAATTTCTGAAAAATAAAAACAAAGAAAAGAATCTTGAAAGTTCTGAAAGATAAATAGCACTTCATCTATAAGGAAAAAGTAATTCTCATGACAATAGGTTTTCCATTAGAAACCATAAAGTCTAAAAATAAAAGAAATGTCAACAGAGTCCTATTTCCAGTGAAAATACCATTCAGCAATATGGGGAAAATCAAGGCTCCTCAGGAAAGAGAACACAAATGTAAAGAAAAATTGATAAAGGACAATATCCAAATCTCAAAAAATATATGAAATATATTCAATATCATCTCTCCAGGTAAACTCAAGTTTATTCCTCCAGGACTTACCAGGATAGCTAAAATTAAATAGGTTTATAATACTAATAACTGGGAAGTATTCCAGGATCTGGAACTCTCATTCACTGCTGGTGGTTGTATCACTTGGATAAAAGGATGTGCAAAACAGTACCTTCTTCCCTAACCGGTTTGGCTCAGTGGATGGAGCATCGGCCTGGGGACTGGGGGGTCTCGGGCTCAATTCCAGCCAAGGGCATGTACCTTGGTTGCGGGCACTTCCCCAGTGGGGAAGTGTGGGAGGGGGCTG